TACAAAAATATTCTTGGCAATGAATGAGTGTTTTATTTCCTCGCTTCCAAAATGTAATTCAAAGACACCCAGGGGCTCTAACCTTACTTATTCATGCCGTGAAATGATCTGTACAAAAGACGAGAGGTTCTGCAAATGTTTCCTGCAGTTTTCCGATGTATGAGCATATTGAGAGTGATATATAAAAGCTGCTCTAATGACTTCTGTCCCTCTTTGGCTTATAGATCATAGTGCGTTCATAACTGATAGAGTCGTGTGTTAGTGTGTGTGTGCATGTGTGTCAGTGTAAATTAGAGAGAGATGGGGATTAACCGTCCCTGGAGAGGCCTAATTAACACTTTACACACCAGCAAAACCATCTTTTTTTGGGACATTTTTACTGCGCTTTGCAGCATTTTTATTTGGTTGTAAAATCTTCAAATTGACAGGAAAGTGTGGGAAGAGACGCATCAAAGATTGGAGGCTGGATTCAAAGGCAAAATGACGAGGCTAAACGGTTCCCACACACACTTTTGGCCATGACCACACACACACACAAACACACACAAAAGTTGAAGGTATGTGATGTAAACACGGTCTTAAAAGGTTAAATACGTGGAGGACAACACGACATAAACACAGACTTAAACAAGTACAGGGTTGTCTGCGCTCGCAGACACAACACATAAACAGAAGTGGGGATAATTGTGTTGTCGGACACACACAAAAAAAAAAACTGAGCAGCTTAAGAATTGGAGAGAAAAAGATCCAGATAGGAAGGTAGAAGTTTCCTTAAAGGAAGGGGGAACTTCCAGGAGTAAGAAGGGTATAGAGGTCTTAATACACGAGAGTGTCTCCTACCTCTTTGTAGTTCACCTTGGGCTCTATTCTCTTCCGCTTTCTGCCCTTCCCCTGACGACTCTGACTGAGGAGAATCCATTTTACAACCTGCAGGAGGGAGGATGAGGAGGGTGAGGTGGTGAAGGCGGGAAAAAAAAAAGAAGGGAACGTGGAGGTAGAGAGACAACAGAGTGGCAGGGATTTGAGTCAGCGGGATCAGACGGTGTGAAGGAGAAAAGGGGGAAAAGGGGGGAAGTAATCAGGGAGATGTAACAATCACAGGGATGAAAAGAAGGGGGAACAAGGGAGTGAGAGAAAGAGTGAGTGGTCACAATGGGCAGAAGAAAGTAAACATAAACAGACTTAAGGCCCTCTTTCCATCTCTCAAGTGAAAGAGGCACACAGGGGAAATGCATATACACACTCTAAACAAGCCACTAGAAGGCACACTCTTAGGACGTGCACAACAGTATCTACCTCCCTCTGTTGTACACACAGGCATTCATTCCGACCTTTCAGCGCTCTCTTGTGCTCCGTATAAAACCTACAGGAACGGCTGGCTGAGACAAAAGAGTAATCGTGGAAGTATGTTGCTGTGACGGAGCCTGGAGCGCAGCTACTCCCTACACCATAGGTCTCTATTAAACAGCCAATCACTATCAAGACCAAACTCTATCTCCTGTCCTCCACTTCAGGTTACATCTCAGTAGAAATATATCACCGAAGTACAATTGGAAAAGTGAAAAAAAAAAGTAAGGTTTCCAAACACTGAAACTGGGAATAAGTTAATGAGTCATTTCTGAAATGCAAAAGCATTCCTTTTATTATTTGACAAATATTCTCTTTAGGTTTGATTGTGATTTCTTTAAAAGGACAGATGAATGACTGAGTAAGTCAATATAGGCAGAGCTATGAGGAACAACATGGGAGCTTTATGGGAAATCTGATAGGCAGCAGAGAATGACACGCAACAGATGTACAGCGCTGTGTGCCGCACTTCGCTCAGACACAGACAGAGGGAGAGAGTGAAACGGGCAGAGAAAGAAAGGTAGATGGAGAGAAAAAGAGGTGAAGATAAGAGATGGTATCAAACAGAGGTTGGACGGAGGAGTGTGAATGTGGAGCAGGAGAGAAAAACAGAAACAGAGGAAGGAATAGTGGCAGAAGAACCGAATGAGGGAAAGAGACAGTGATGAGATCAGATGACAATCAAATCATGGAGTCTGTGGTGAAATATGTCAAATCTAAGCTGTCTCCCCCCTTGAGTCTGTCTGCCACTCCCTGAAGACAAGAAGAAGAGAGTAGGAGAAAAAAAAAAAAGGAGGTGAGAGAGCACTTACCTCTGCTTTGACTTCTTCCACCAGTCTCGTCTGTGACCACACGGCGCTCCTTTCGTACAGCCACTGAACGAACGACAGAGGAGACGGGAAAGCAGTGAGCCGGGGGCAAGTGATCAGGACAGAGTGGAATGCTTTGCAGAGGCAGAGAAAGAGAGAGAGAGAGAGAGGGAGAGAGAGAGAGAGAGAGAGAGAGAGAGAGAGAGAGAGAGGCAGGAAGGGGAGGTAGAGAGAAGAGAAGTGGGAGGAGAGGGAAGAGGAGGAGGAGGAGGTGGAAGCGCGATCACTTGTTCCTCTGACGGAAACTCGCGATTTGACTCCGGAGGATGAGAGAGAAAAGGAGAGAAAGAGTGGAGGAGAAGAGAGACGTGAGGAGAGGAGGAGGAGGAGGAGGAGGGAGAAAAATCTACTGAACAACTAGAAACCAAAGAACAGACAGTCACCTACACACACACACACACACACACACACACACACACACCTACACACAGAGAGCAGCTAGTAGGCACTAACTCTCTAACCTTATTAAGGCTTTCAGCAGAGCAAGAGCTCGAGTGATGTGAATCACATATCAGAGCGATGACGGGAGGGTTTGTGTGTGTGTGTGTGTGTGTGTGTGTGTTTGTCATAATGTGTGTGTGTGTGAGTGTGTGTATGTGTCAGCTAGGAGAAAGACAGGAGAGGATGCAAGCAACATGTTTGTAATGTCACACCACTCACTCACCCAAGTCACGCACATACATAAACAAAAACACAGGAGTGATCTACAAAGCTCACACACACACACACACACACACACACACGCAAACACACAAACACACACACACAGCAATTTAGCGTTACCATAGCCACACACACCAAGTTCAATACTGTAACTTCATGCCCAAGTTCTTCTTCTCTCTCTGTATTATAATACAGGTACTCCAGCAGAAATAACACACACACACACACACACACACACACACACACACACACACACACACACACACACACACACACACACACACACACACACACACACACACACACACACACACACACACACACACACACACACACACACACACACACACACACACACACACACACACACACACACACACACACAGAGGTGTAGAGTGGGTTGTATAGAATGTAGTGAGTGTTGAAGCAGTAAATTGGCATTGTGTAACAGGATACCACACATAACTCTTTTGCTGCTTAGATCCCCGCTACCATTCCCTGAATAGCGAGGCTTTTGTCTCCCTCAAACTCTCTCTTCAGCCCGCGCCCCCGCCTGTGTAGTCTCTCTGGTGGATCAATATGAGATCAGGAGTTGCACCTCTCACTCATAAACACACATAAGAAGCAGATAAATCATTCGGGTTAAAGGAGTAATTTGTGACGTGTCTGAGTCAGGCGCTATATCACGCTGAGATCAATACCCAGTTTAGTCGGCGCTTATAACTCAATGCTTGATTTCTTTTAAAGCTAAATAAAACTACTTACTTAATTACTATTAGCTTTTTAAAAATCATCCTATAAATAAGTGGTCCCCAAAGTGGGGGTCGGGATCCGCAAGGGGTCACGAGATTGCCTTCCAAAAAACAAATACAAATTAAATTAAATTTAAAAAATAAATATTTGACCCATTATGGTTAAAATAGATAAGTTAAAAAAAGTATCCAAATTTCAAATAGAATCACATTAAGTTAAATGAAAATTAAATGTTTGTGCAAAAATACTTAAAATATAAGTTTTACCATGACAACATTGATGTAGCTGTCTGCTGCTCTGTAGACATAAAGCTGCACACACACCTGTATGTGACTAATTATTTAGTTTTGTATAAACAATTGAAGCCCATGAGGAAATGTATCCTTCTTCTTTCTGTGAAAACAAGTCATTAACAGGTGCTTTGAGAGATCAAGGCTTCATAGTTTCCCCATCAGACCAGATTAATTTATTAATGTATTTCTCATATTTAGAAATAACAAAGCTTGTTTACTCATGATATACGGGGTCATTTTCTGGCGATCTAGAAGAGGAAACAATAGGCTGATCACTGCGATAGAGCAGCACCATGACGTGTAAGCTGCCCACACTAATGAGGTCAATTCAGCCTTGGTTTGTTAAAAAGAGTAAATTAAGTGTATGGATGCATTTCCACGTATGGCTTCTGTCACATTAAATAGTATAAATTTGGCCTTAACAAAATCAACTGTAGATTTCTAAAAAAAAAAGTAAAGCATCAGGATTCTTGTTGAACAATTCCATAAAGAAGAAGGATAGAGACTTAAAATTAGACCAAAAATTGGTGACCACTTTGTGGATTTTGAAGATTTTAATCTCCAATGCTGCAAACACAGCTGGGCTCCTCTATTCAAAAAGTATTGAGGTTTGACAGCCAGCCTGTTGATTTGACTAAGAGAGTTTGAGCTCCAGTAATTGGCACTTTAATCAGCCATTTTAGACTTGTTTCTACGCTGCTAGGGCTGAAAATGTGGGGGTTAATCTGTCTGGCTCTCTGAAGGATGCTCATTGTTTGTAGGAGACTTTGTTAACTGTACTGCTGTATAGTTTCTTCTGATTAAACAAACGTTCAAAAAAAGACTCAGATATCAGGGGAAGTTCGAAGCCTAAAACTGGTAAATCAAAAGTAGTCTTTATTTTAACCAAGTATCTCAGCCGTGATCATTCATCCCAAAGGGAGCGCTTACTCATCTAAACACTGAGGTCTAAAATAGGCCGACAGTGGCCTTCCCATTTCACATCTCCTACTCCAGGATCACTGAATGTCATTGTTTATTATTAGGCCAGGCCATTTCCTGCCTTTCTCCAATTCACTCGCATTGTGTAGCGATAGATGGGCGAGAGAGAGAGAGAGAGCAAGAGAGGGAGGGAGAGAGAGAGAGAGAGAGACTTGAGAAATGTGTTTGTGTCTAGTATACATTATAGATAAGCACTTGCATTTGTAAAATGCTTCAATCGATCCGGCTGATCTTATTAGCAGGTGACTGGCACATTAAACATTCAAAAAAAGCCTCAGCAAGAACACTTTAGCCAAAGCCATCATCACCCAATCAGGTGTGAGAAAACAGCAGCCCCTCCACACAGCCCCCAGAGGCCCCTGAAAGGCTCCAGTTACATCATCACATAATCTGGAAGGTGAAGGTTCCCAGACAGCTTCACAAGCACTCACGCACTTAGGCATGCACATACACACGGTGGTAATTAAGATCAGTTACCATGGAGATGTGACAATTGAAGAAGCTGTAAAAGTGGATTGATTGTGCAAGTGGGGGTGTGTGTGTATCTAGTATCTATCCGGGGCTGTAGGTCTTTCTGGATTAAAGGGCACAGGCAGAGCCTTCACCTTGTCCAGATACAGTATCAGTCTGGCAGCAAAGGTGATGGTTAGGATTCAACAACAGTGCGATAGGATAAAACGTCACGATTCACTTTTTTCATTAAAACAAACAGTGATGCTGAGCAAAAGAATTACAAAGAAAGTGGATCACGTGACTCCAGTTCAGAGGTCTTCATACTGGCTCCCTGTCTGTCGGTTCATTTTAAAAAGACTGTTGGTTTGAAAAGCTCTGAATGCTTTAGGGCTAAATATCCATTAGTGATCTTCTGATTCATTCTGAAGCACCTAGAGCGCTCAGGTCGTCTGGGACAGGTCTGCTCTGTGTCCCCAGAGTCACAACCTAACATGAAGAGCAGAGATGCATACAGAACAAACTTCATGAAAACTGCAGGTCGCTGAAACATGTTTTTATAAATCTGCACTGACGACTCGCCTGCTCACAGCTGCCTTTTTTATTCAATTATTTTTATTAATTCATTTTAAAGCTCCTGTGAGGAGTCTTTAATTGGTTATGGAACAGACTGAAATTAACACAGCTGACTCTTTATGAGCTACAAAGACAAACCAGACCAGCAGCAACGAGGTTGGCACTGGCACCCCATGTATAGTAGTTTTAAATGCTATACATTTTTGATCATCAAACGCTACTTAAACTATTTACAGGATAACATCAAAACAAGGCACCAAAACCGAGCTCACAGGAGCTTCAATAACTATATTTATTATAACTGTTTTTTTAATCTTCTTTTGGATTCTTATTGGCACCTTTCAATAACTTTAAATACTCTCTTTTCATGTGTTTCTTTTACACAACATGTCATTATGTTTAAATCTCTTGTGTGAAGCATTTTGAACGGCCTTGTTGCTATATCTAAGTAAACTTGCCCTTGCCTCTTTTAGTAAATGTGATTTTATAATCGTTTTCCTCCAGTCGCTGTCAGGTTTTCTGTCTGTTATCAGGGAACGGCATCACTGTCTGGGAGTTTCAAAATGCCTTCTGGCAATAGTCACACCTCATTATAGATGTATAAATCGCCTTCGAATAAGTGGCAAAATATTCATTATGAGCGTCATTACACTGCTATTTACAGCTGTGAAATACAGAGACAAATTCTCCTTTAAACTCAGAGCGAAGCGTACGGCATACTCCACTTAAAAGCAAAAAAAAAGCATTGTACATGAAATTTAATTAAACACTGCAGGTTTTTATACTGGATGTGAATACAATATCATAACCTTCATTGAGGTCTAGGTGAATATAATGATATTAAACACAGTGATTATTCACTTTTTATTTCAATTCCAGGTACCTACAGTGAGTAATATTATTAGCATGTGGCTTTCTAATCCAAAACAGAGCCAGTCAGATAGTTCAATGTTGTATTCTCATTAACAATAAGCGAGCTCTAAATGACGAGTGATTAACCACACAACACAAACGTCTCCTAAAGGCCATCTCTGAACATGTAATGACGTTTTGAAGAGATTGACGGTATTTATTTTGTAGCCTGTTTTGCCTTTATTGTTAGGACAGCTGAAGAGGAACATCATAATGTGTAGAGGAGAGGCCAGGAGTCCAGTGAGGACTATGATGTCTGCACGTAGCCCGCTCTACAAACTGAGCTAAACCAACACTCACAAGTGTAGATATTGAATTATTATATGGTACTTTTTCTGCATACTTTTTATTTGTGTTTGTTTCTTTTAGCTTTTGCCCTGACTGAAATGATAGGAAGAGCAAAAGAGAACTGAAGTAAAAGTGAAGTTGTGATCGACAAAAAGGGTGCAAAAACAACACCACAGATTTAAATGAATTTAAAATGACATGTGACACGTATAATTAGATTCAGTGTGCCGTGACCTACCAACATAAAATTCAAACATTATCCATAAAAAAGATGATATTTCCATGGTAGGTGTCTAGATATCTTAAGAGTGACTTCCTTGAGACAAATATGAACCTTCAGGGAAATGGGGACTGAACGATCTAATCGCCTCCATAATCTGAAACCAGTCTGGTGAGAACATGTCTGTGAAATTATCATTAGACGCATGTGTGCATGCATGCGCCATGTGCAAAAGGTCTGAATACACACTGCTTTGACTGTCGGCATACAAACTTCAATTCAACAGCCATGTGTCATCTTAATGCTTTACCTCAAACATTACTGATCTCATAGAAACTGTAGCAACATGAAACCAGTGAAAGAGGAGGTGAGAATTTTAAGTGCCAAAGTCTAAGTACATATTACTAAATCAATAGCACTGATAGCATTGTGTCTTTGATAAATGTGCATTTATATATATATTTTTTATATGATGAGTAAGGTAAATAAAAACAACATTTTCAAATTCTATATTTCAGTAAATATCAAGAAAGTGAGCCGGTCTCTTCATACCTTAGGAATTCCCGGTCGATCAAGCCAGTCTGCATAAACAGCAGTGAGGGTGAGGCCTTTTCTGCAACACAATGGCACAAGTGTTAGTATTATTCGTATTATTATAGCAATGACTCCTATTGCCCAAGACACCCAATGAAAACATGGCTCCAGGAAAATATTGTTCATGTCATGGTGGAGTAGAGCTTTAGGCCAACACCTTAAACAAAAAACTCAGGGGCACACCCGTTTTCCAATGCAAGGACAAGCAAACAGACATGTACAGACAATGAATTGGATTTATACAAATGCAAACAGTGTGTATATGTGTGTGAGAGTGCAGCTAACACACACACACACACACACATATACACACACTATATAAAGAGCACCTGTGCTTTAAGGAAAATTCCACACTTGTCTAGTCTGAGGCTGTTACTGTTTATTAATCTGTGATGATCGCCTGCAATGAAACGCTGTAATTTACGTTTCTGTGTTCCCATTTTCTCTCACCTGTGCTTTTCTATCCGGAGCTCGATTAGTGAAGTCACACATTTATAAAAAAAAAAAAACTATAATTTAAAGACGTTGCTCCAATCAGAACATGCAGATAAGAAGATCTCAAGTGAATGCACATGTGCATCTTATTGCTTGTTACACAATACTTAAACATATTGTGTTTAAATGATGTCCCAGTAACAAACATGAACACAACCTCGTGCACTTTTAACAGCCACACACTCAGTCCTGCCCACCGAGAGTCACAAGTAGGTCAGTCAAATATTAAAGACCCAATTCCTGGAAGAACCAGCAAGACTTTCTAATTATAGAAAAAAAGTAATAAGTACTTTATTACAACTATATATTTCACATGGATATAGAGATGTCATTTTTGTGCTGTAATCATTGTAATATGTACGATCTGTGTGTTACATATATAATGTGCTCTTCAAATAAAATAGATTCTTTTAGCCAGTAAGAAAACCTTTTATTTTAACACCATCAGCAGCAGTGATAAGCTAAGCTTCAATGTTGGTTGCTCTGGCCCGATGCTCCAAACAGAGGCTGTGCTGAAAAGCTATCTTCTGCAGGTAATGTCCTCATCATTGATAAGTACCTGTTAGGCAACCCAAGTTCAACTTCAGCAATTTGCCATTTAAGGACATGTCACACTCAACTTGACAGGCTCTGCTCTTGGCTCAATTTGCATCCGTAACAATTTGATTCATCCACCTCTCCATGGCTTGAGCTGAAGGTCGATTTGAAGAGGCCAAATGTGTGAATGTCTGTGTCAGGTTTCATGAAAATCTGTTTAATATGAAGTTGAAATATATAACTTTGGAACAAAAGTGTCTAAAACTGAGTCTGAATACTGCCAGAGTGTTTAAAAATAGTTTTGAGGGACTTGCCTTTTTTTCCTGTTATAAAAAAAAGGTCAAGGCTGTGCTCCTTGCTTCCACACACTATTAAAGTCTAGAGCGTCATTTCCTATTGTATATGTGCTTGCAACTTTGGCAGGTGGAGAGTGGTCCTTCAGTAAATTGAAGCTCATAAAAAAATCTCTTTATAGTCTACAGTGCAATAGCAGAGGTATTACTCTACGTAAAGCACCAATTTGTACAGAAGGTGGACACTAAAAACTGTATCATTGAGCTCACCACATGGAAATTTCCACCCTTGGCATCCTGGCATGAGGAGGTGAATCAAAGACGGTATATATAGACTAAACATCTGCCGCGGCGCCGCCAGTGAGAAACCATACAGTGAGATTATTTGGGATTATGCTGGGATACTTTTCTTGTGTGGAAAACAAAAGGGTAATACAGCTAATACACCACACAACCTGTCAGATACTGTACCAAGATAAGACTAGATGGAAATAAGATTTATGTCTCACGAGAGCAGAGGAGACAAGTTATTTCATGTTGAGCGTGGTAACTGAATTTTGTTTCATTGGTTGTTCACCTTCAGGGTGATTAATGAGAAAATACTGTACAGTAAAGGAGTGCCTGTTTTGCCAGGAGAGTGGTTTCTTATTAACAAAAATCAATGAATGCATTGACTTTTTTTAAACGCGTGTAAATCATTATCATGTTTAGTGTTATACTTGTGAAATTACTAATTTAGTCAAAGGAATAGGCAGGATATGCTACCTGCAAAACAAAACTGTGCCCTTGACCCTCAGCATTGTCTGAGTGTCTCTTCTCACTCCTCTAGCAGAGTGTTTACTGAAAGAGGCATCAAATCCAAATATTGACTGTCCCCAACTCCCTCTGTTTAATTCAATCAATCCCTGCTAGAGCGGCACCACACTCCACATGACCGACAAAAGGCAGAAGAAGGCCACATTCACAGAAAACAAACGGGCGCTGACTGAGGAAGAGAGAGAGGTGACAAAAGAAGAGAGAAAAAAGAGGAGGAAGTAAGAGACAGACATGGAGAGTGAGAGGGACAGATAGACAGGGAGAAGAAGAGGTTAATGAGGCAATCAGGAAAAATAGAGAGCTGAATGATTAAGCGAGTGCAGACAGGGAAAGAGAGAAAATGAGAGAGGAGGAGAGCAGGAGGAGCAGTTATCCTTTTACACTTCAATTAATATGAGAGGGGATGAGGCTGCTCTCTTAACAGGATTGGTGTTGGAAGCTTTTGCTGGCCATGTTTTCACAGCAGAAGCGTGTTAGTCAGAGGCTAAATCAACACGTACTCGTGTATTTGACGGAAAAAACGACTAAGTCACATCTGTTGAGAAAGAAAAACGCTAAGTTCAAGAAGAAAAATGATGAAAAGCATTTTTTTTTGGGGGGGGGGGGAATTGGAAACCAGCCTACCAATACTTGAGCAGAAACCAAAGTGGTTTTAATGCATCAAAGTTTATTTTTCATTATTCATGAATCACATTGTAAGCATTGCTCATAACCACTTACATACCTCTCCATATCGGGAAAGGTAATCAGCAGCATTCGCAGGAAATCCTGGAGAAGAAAAGTTGTAAAAAACAAAAAAAGAGACAGAAATGGAGGCGTTAATAGAGGTGTGGGAGGAAGAAAAAAAAACAGAGAGAGAAAGGCATACCTGATCTTTAGTCAGGCGTACAAGGTCAAACAGTGTTTATGTAGCATCCATTATTTAGTCAGAAGACTCGGCCTGCCACTGAAGAAACAGGAGCCAGGTGGAAAACATCACATGTCAAACACGAACACATACATGCTAACTTCCAGGTGTGATCACTCAGCTTCATGTCCACAGCAGAATAAACAGAAAAGGTGCTTAGCTGGTGTGCGGTGATCAATTTTAAGAGCATGTCAGAGAAGTTTCAACTGAATTAGGCTCAAATCAGCCTCCAATTAATTTATGGAAATAACAGCGTGCCTCAGAGACAGGTCATCAAAACAGTTCAAATCTGAGCTTAGATTTCATTATCGGCCCTCTCAGGAAGCTGCAAGTCAACAAGATTCTCTGTGAAGTTAATTTAATAATAATGAGTTTTTTTTATACTACGCACCACTCACCTGGGACAAAATGAGTTGCCCGTGGTATTTCTTCACAAATGACCTGAAAAAGTCAACGAATTGTTGCTCTCCCACTCGGCTGGCCAGGAACCTGAGAAGAAAGTAACCCTGGACAAAGCACAAGGCAAAGAGAGACAACAAACAACAACTGGGATCAATCAATCAATAGCAGCACAAAGAAGCATCGCAGAAGGGTTGTCAGGGTACCAGACTTTTAAACGTCAATACAACACTTGTAAAAATCAAAAGATACCAGCTAACCTGTCTCGATACCACACCAACAACAGAAGTGCGAAGCAGCATATATTTGCTTATTTCTTTTTTTTTCATAACCAAACATGACAAGCAAACTCCTGCACTCTGTCTTAATTGCACAAAAAAAACACATTGTGCAACATTTTTGGTACCAAAACATTGCAAATGTATTTTCACAGTGCGAAGGCAGTGTCTCTTCAGCTGTCCCCAAAAATGTAGCAGTAGTAATTGCCACTCATAAACCGGATGAGTCCTCTGGTGAATTTAAATGCTCCGCTGGGGTTTCTAACTCGTGACAGCTTTGGGTTCAAAGTATGACTGAAGAGTTGTTGTTTTAGAAGTTTTGGTACTTTTTGATAATATCGGTCATTGCAATAGCAGAGGCTGTATCGTTTTAGAACACCTGGTATCAATAAGTAACAACCAATGATGACAACCTTACATTGAAGTAACCTCTACAATCATTAAAGGTGCTGTTGTCAGCAAAATGTACTCTAGAAGAGAATAGGATTGCTTTTCTTAAGTTGGTTTTGTTCCTCGTTTATTTTTCCTTCTTTCTATTTCAACATCGTTGTCCTTTTCCTTTCTTGTTTTTCCCCCCATTTATCTCACCTTGAGGTAGTGGACTTGCATGAAGGCTTTGTCAGGGTTGAGGGCATGTTTAACCATGGAGGCGCCCGACTCACTGACCTGACCGGTGTTCTCTGTGTTGGGTCTGCAGGAGGACAAATAAAGCAAAGAAACAAAGAGACACAAAAGAAGGTAAGATAGGTAAGCCCTTAGTGGCCATGCATCCAGACATGTTCTCATGATGAGTAATTGACAGTTATCTTTTAAGTTGAAATGACAAAGCTGGATTTTTCTCTATCACAGGAAAACAAAGTAAATAAAATGTAGGGATGCATGTCTGCTTAGGGCTTCCATACATGGGTACACACAGAGTTCTGTTCTGCACAGACAAAGAAAGAGAAGTAAAAAAGAGTTCAAACTGAGCTGGTTGGAGTTAAAAAAAAAAAAAAAAAACTGAGAACAGAGTTTATTTTTTTTATCCCACTCTAACAGACATTTTAGTTTAGAAAACCACAATTTCTGCAGAGCAGGAATACATTGTCAGCAACATTAAATCCAGCCACTCAGCCGATCCTCTCAATGGCGAACATGTTGCCAAGTTGCCATAGTAAGCCCGAGGCAGGCTTGAAATCAGGCTGCAGATTTATAATAGCGTGCTATACTGTTTATATGACCTCACAGTGCTGCGCTTTTACTTTACAACCCATGACTCATTGAGCGAACATATAACACTTCCACAAAAAAAAAAAACAACCCCCCCCCCCCTTAGTCATCAGGCACAAAGGAGGCATGCTCTAGATTTCTCTTTTCCTGCCACACAGATACAAATCATCCCTTCAACCTCCATAAACACACAAACAAACACATAAAACCAATGAGAGGCAGACAAACACGGCGCTGACGTGGGATGCTGTGCAATGATAGTTTCAGTTAGCCTGTATTGATCAGGCTGAGCAGATTAACTCAGTGTGCCAATAGGAAGGTCTTGAAGGATCACCCTCCTGCCAAGTCGATACGCGAGGCGCCTGGCCCACCAATCAATACGCCCTTCATCACAGGCTAGCACTTTTCCACAGGGCCGCTTCCTGACAGGGCCAGACACACACACACACACTCACGCACATTAACACACAACAGAAGAGGGAGACCACAAACACACACACTCAAAAGCCTTTTTCACAGTAATAAATGTATGATTTAAAGCGTCAATGTGTAATTTTTCTAGTCAGGCTTCGGCCGTGAGCAACAAGTTAGTCAACGATTCGATCTATCGGAGTCTTTGTCCAGGAGAGAAGGAACAGGGGAGAGATGAAGCAGATTAGAGATACAGGAGAAGAAGAGGAGAGGGTGGCGGTGTGGGAAGAATTGCGGACAGGAGATAGACAGGAATGTTTTGTTTGCTCGGAGGACGGAGAAGGGAAGTCATCAGCTTCCTGGAATTTCTAAATTCGACTGGACACTTTCATCGTACGACCGAATGCGTTTCCTTCTTCAGTGCATGTGCATGTCATGTGAAAATGTCGATACCAAGTCTGTTTTTTTTGGATTATTTCAGTAGGGAAGCTTCGTGTTTGTAAATGAACGCTGCACGTCAAAATTTAGAGGTAGGAGTAACAGTAAAATCTATTTGCTAAACATTAGGGGGCTAGTGGCTGAAGCTGCATTATGAAATACATTGGTCTCCTGCCCGTGGTGCCCATGTCTGTCTGTTACTGCAGATAACATTAAATAGACTATTTTTAAGACAGCAGGACGTGCTGTATCTCCGGGAAATTCTGTCTGTCTGTGTGTGTGTGTGTGTGTGTGTGTGTGTGTGTGTGTGTGTGTGTGTGTGAGACAGAGAAGTACAGAGAGAGAAAAGGGACTGGGGCAAGACACAAAAACAATGACAGAACATGCATTTCCAGAAGAGAAAAAAGTGCATGTATCATGCGTCAGAGATACCGGCGGCAAAGCACAGCGAGGAAAAATGTTGATTCATCAGTGCCATGTTAGACAAAGGAACTCCACCCTTCCCACTGTCCAGAGAAAGGGATGTATGGATGTGTAAATCCTCGTCTTTCGCCGTCTCTCTTTGTCAGAGATGATTAACTACAGCTTTAAGAGGAATCGCTGCTCGCTGCCTTGGAGAATCACACAATAGCTCAATGTATTGCAGAATAAATGGTGCTCTTATCTGACTCGTAGGGCCATGTGTGAGGGGTGTTTGTGTGTGTGTGTGTGTGTGTGTGTGTGTGTGTGTGTGTGTGTGTGTGTGTGTGTGTGTGTGTGTAGCCATGCATACACCTGGGTGTGTCTGAGATTGAGAGAGAAAGAAAAAAGAACGGGAGGAAATCAGGAGCTATTACTGACAGAGCTTAATGTGAAACTTACACACACACACACACACACACACACACACACACACACACACACACACACACACACACGCGCAGGGACGCAGAGGTTTATAGCTTCGTGAGCCATATCCTGACAAATTACACTGGGTTGACTGTGGAAACCGGATAAGGTAGTGCAGCACTCCCAGCAGCCCAGTGAATCAGCAGGGAGAATGGCGTCTGGTCCATGCTGCCCTAAATATAACTCATCTGAATTGGTCTGATAAACGCTGGCCACCAGGGCCCCTGCTGGATCACGAGGGGGGGGGGGGTAGATTGTGACCCACTGAACTTGGCAAACACAATCTGCCATTTACCCTTTTTACGTGTGTGTGTGTGTGTGTGTGTGTGTGTGTGTGTGTGTGTTTTTGTTTGTTTACTGGTGAGGTTTTGCATATCTCTCGGAACATCCCGTTTGTTGCTCTCTTCTTTCCCCTTCACAAAGTCCTCTCTAACATCTCTCTGTGCATTGTGACAACCAGTTCATGTTGATTTATACCATGTTTTTAACCCGCAGTTATAATGGGAAACAGTGGAGCCACATCAGGATTTGGATGTGCATGCAGTCTAGCCCACACCAGAAATTGGAATAGCAGTCAAACTATGACTGAAGTCTGGAGGATATGGTTGCAATGAACTTCACAAAAATACATTTTTTATTACATTTGAACATTTCTGCATCCAATAAAAAGCACTTCTGGTGTCTGTTGTTTTGAAATATATGTAAATGATCATGTAAATAGTTCAAAACATGGGGAAAAATATGTTTTCCTTGACTTTACTAATCCAGTTGACCTGCTCACAATAAGACTCTCTCAGTTACAAAGCAATACTTCATAACTACAGAATCATGCAGACCCTTTCGGTGACTCTGAAAAATATACAGAAATGACAAAACCCTTAAACTACTTCACATATATTTGCTGTATGATCATGACATGACTCAACTTTTACTAGGATCGGCTAAACCAAGACCACAGAATCCTCTCCTTTAACTGTCTTTGATTGGAAGGTTTTTATGAATTATTTTATGATCAGCTATTTGTATTTGTCTTTCTTCTGTGTTGATTTAATCCACTTTCATTTTATAATTCCACATCATATTTGAAGCACAAAAATCCTATATAAAATGTATTTGAACTATTATTATTATTATATTTATTATTGATTCTGAATATAATAATCAGGCAAAGACCAGCAGGTGAATCTGTGTCTGTCAGGAAGATAAGAGTCAAAGAGGACTTTTTGGCACAACTTCACCAACTACTAAGATGCATGAAAAGTGAAAGACTTGAAGAGGTCAAAAAGCTCCAGTAACACTAGTCTAAGATCAACTTTATCAACATATTAGACGATGCCTTTTGGCTTGTGGCCTTCATCAGGGTCAGCTTTTGACCTCAGGAAGATAAGACTCAAAAGTCTGGGACTTCAGAGTGTTAACACATTGAAATATGACATCACCATTACACATTTGCGGTTATTTATATTTTGTATTTGATTTTTTTCTTTTTTGCTTATTGTCATATTTCTGTGTTTATTTTGGATCTTTCCATTAAAATTGTATTTAATATTGTCATATTTAATCTTCTCTGTAATTGTAAATGGTTAGTTTTAGTGATTTTCTTTTTCTATTTGATACTCTGGATGTCTTTTGTGAAGCACTTTGCATGTCATTGTTGCTAAAATGTGCTCTATAAATAAACTTCACTTCACTTCATTATAATTATTCTCATCATACGATTACTGATGCTTTATAATGTAGTCTTTTCATTTGCATATTAAACGCTACACCAGACTCACAGACTGTGTTCATTCATCCATTACTTTAATGTATGTAACAGGGTTCATTTATGCTTCAGCATGGGCTAACATTGCCGTCAAAGATGTGAGGATTAGAAATGACTTTAACTTGCGTGCCATTCTTCAATACCATGAGTCAAACAAGTATGCATCCCTGAGTACAAGCATGACGTCTCTGTGTATGTGTGTGTGCATGTTTTGTTTGCATTTTTCAGATGCTAGTTCTCTGTTGTTGATTTAACCCCGTCAGGTGCAGAGAAACCTAATCCTGATCCTCCAAACCGCCCTGTGTCTGCCTCATAGGGGAACACCCTCATACACTTCCAGACAGAGACGGTTCTCAAGTTCATGTTTAACCCTTTCACTCACTCACTCACTCACTGCTCTCCATCTCAGAAAATCTCATGCATCACAGAAGTGCAAAATCCGCATTAGTTTCAATTTGAAACTTTAGAATTAACAAAATATTCTGTAGGTTTTAAACAGGAAACAGTTAATATCGATGAACAAAGTCAACCATGAAGTATTCAAACTCTTTTAACTGATGAGTACACATCACCTTTTTTTTTTCCAATTAGTGAGATCTCATAAACACAGCTTGCACTAATGAAAAGAGCCTGAACTGATTTGACTTCTGAAAACAATCCTAACTGTTTCAATTGTGAGATGACATGCATTATTAGTTAGGCGACATAGAGAGAAGTTAGTGCCAAGCAGAAGAGCCGTGAAATCAATAGCTTAACGATTTGCTGTCATGTTCTTACAAGCGTGAATGCCAATAGCACATAATGCTACAAGTGCTAACCGCAGTTAAGGAGGGAGTATATCAATGTTACAATCCTTACAAAATGTTAACATTTCTCCTCTTAAATGGTTAACTCCAGGCGTGGGTTTTACACCTTTAATCCCTCAATGACACGGTGCTTCCACCCTGGATAAAACAAACAGGGTGTGGGTGCTACATTGTCAGTATCAGATGAAGACTTTGTGTGTTTTGCGCGCTCTCTGTTTGTGCCTGTGTGCAGAGCTTTTCTCAGACATGACAGCACAGTGCATCGGGATACACTCGCCACACCTGCCACACCTGCACTCTTGGAATGTATAACCCTGAAGCTCACGTGTGCATCTGCACGTGCAGACACAATCAAAACTGAACATACCTTCTCCTACCTTAAAAACATCCTTTTTAAACATGTTCCTCTCTGCCTTGACATTTGTTGCACTATATCCTCTTGTGTATGACTAGACTTCATTGCGGTGTGCTTGTGGTTACTTTACAGGTAAATCAAATGTTTTGTGGTTAACCGTTGGCTTTTTTAACAGCTATGAGTCACTACCTAGGAGTCATCTTTTTGTACAGTTGTGTGCTTTAGGTGTGGCATTGCTTGATCTGCAATAGATCATCAATTGCCTTGAATTGGTGACTTTTTCTTTTCTAATGTCTATCTTGAACTTACAATGAGATATTGTATATGAAACAATGTGCAGGAACAATGCAAACAACAGAAACATGGAACATACTGTAATTCTTGCCCATATCAGAGACGGCACAAGCTTCAGTATGATTTTAAGATCCACCTCTGCCAGGGATAAATGAGCTTTTTTAACCACATTTAACAAAAAAAAATAAAAAATACATTTGCATACACTCCATGAAAGTCACAGCGACACTCAACACATTTGGTGTAAAAGTGGTCCTAATGTAGACGTTAACAGGGATTATTATGAAAATACTATCTGCAAAAAAGCCAATCAGAATATTAAGAATGGAACTCTGCAGACGAGACCAAAGAGACGTGTAGCTCAGAGAAGAATTATCTACACTTTAAAATAGTGTGTTACTAAAGTATCCTAGGCATTGATACTGATACAGTAGTCATTGGTAGATCAGTGATGCCTTCTCTGTGTTGGGCTTAAAAGGGGTGTGAGTCTCTCCTTTACAAGAAGTTACAATTCGAATCTGGATTCACAGACTACTATGAGATTAATTTACGATTCATTCAAATACAGAAGAAGTCGGTCTGATGCAAATTGATTAAAGTATCCTGAGTTTTTTTTTCCTTTTTTTTTTTTTTAGGTTTCTATTTGCCTCCTTTGGACAGGACAGCTGAAGAGAGAGAGGAAATGTTGGGAGGAGAGAGCAGGGGACAACACAGCCCACAGCCAATAGCTTCTGCACCGGAAATCTGAAATCTGGCCATGGACCTGTTGGTGTCATATTTATACCGATCCATGGCTCTGCGGAACAATGCACTCAGATCATCAACATTAAGACTGGTTACTGATTTAGATTGGTTTAGCTAAAGTAAGCCTCTATTAATATTTAGTGATGAAGGTATTATTGGGAAAGGAAAATTCAGCATTTGGGGTCAACTTCGTGTCAGTTAATGTGTTCTGGTTTTTAAACATGCTGCTGTTTCACCATTCACAAGGAGACACTTTCTCCATAGAGGCAGCAGCGGAGGATGAATTAAGGCAGATATGCTTGACCAAAAACACACACACACCTGAGGATTTGAAGTGCCTCCTCTGAGTTCTGCAGCTCATCAGAGAGTCGTCTCCATCTCAGCAGTGCCTTCAGGTCAGACTGCTCTGCTGCCTCTTGAATGGAGAGCTGGAGAGAGAGAGCGAGAGAGAGAGAGATAGGTTGTTGGGTAAAATATTTGGGTAGATCAAAGAAAACAGAGAAGGAAAAGTTAAAAAGGTTTCATCAGCAAAAATGGAAAGAAACAGCTCAAATAAAAAGTCAAACTCCGCACACATGAGAGTAGTGGCACTGTCTGTATCCGTCACTGTGTCTTATTGACTTTTCCTTACAATGACAGGCCGGCTTAGATCAGTTTATATTAGAGCCAAGCTTGTGTCATAAAGTCGACATGATGCAACGGCGCAGACACAAGAAAAAACATTTGTGTGACTTAAGATGGTGTGGGAAAGCAAGTAGGAGGATTAGATCTGTATAGATGTCAACTCCCTCATTAAAGCTGAAATTAGTGTTGCAAGCAAAGGATTCATGCCAATAACTACACCCTTTTTCTTTGTCTTGTTTTTTTAAATCAGATTTTTTCCCCCTGCAGGTATGCCTCATTGCGAGATCTTACTTAAGTACATCTGGAGCTCTCTCTGATCTATTATGTACTTCTTTAAGCTTTCACTTGTTTAAGGTCGAGAAGGTGGCAGCACATTTTTACAACTAATGTGGTTCAGCCTAGTCTACTTTCTTCTTAGTAAGTCAGGTTTGTTTAAAGGTTAACCCAGGTACTTCTTTCTTTCCCTCCGTTTGGCCAACTCTTCAAAAGTAGTTTTTTCTTTTCTTTGGGGCTTCATTGCTTTGAAACTTGAATTGGTGTCTTTACAGACTATTTCCTTGTTTGCTTTGTGTATGGTTTAATGAGACTAAAGAAATAGCCAAGTCTACTTTAAATGGATTCCAACCAGAACAATAACATCTGAAAATCCTGGCAACAACCTGAAGCAGTACAGGAAAAAAAAACATCTTTCAGGCACTTAAAGAATATGTCTCACTACAGGCGCACATTCAAAATATAACTGCCAAGTTGAATGATTTTGATAAAACAGATCTGTCAATGTTATGTTTGATTTTTTTGTTGTTGAATTCAATGTGTCAGAGCAATTTATATACAACTTTGTTTCAATTCACCAGCTCACCGTCTGCATCACAAAGTCCCCTGCCTCTGAAATATTCCTACACATGGGTACGAGTTTGTTTACCGGTGCCCACATTCCCCTGTCAAGTTTGTTATTTGAGACCACAAACTTTGCAGTGGAAGTGGCAGACGCCAGTTTCAGGCCCAGTATTGTACATTGGCGATGTTTATAAGGGAGCCAGTGATTTCCTTGACCCATTTCTTAGGGTACCACATTTTTAAAACTCCAAATCAGGAGACTTGCACTTCACCACAGTATCGATGCCACAGCTCGGTGACCTGCACTGGTCACTCAAGGTGGTAGGTAAAGTTTCCCCCCGTGAGCAGGCTACTTAGTTGTCAGCAGCGTTTGCCTCACTGAAGTGGGTTGAAACAGTGCTACGTCCAGCCTGCGCCAGATGTTTGTGTTAGATAGTTTTAATATGGCTTTGTATTACACGACTGAAAATGGATACTTGCAATGTGCGCAAAACACAGCATACTCATTGGCTAGTGCTTAATGAATGAAGCTGTAACTCTCCTGGAGCTCTTTGAAAAAACGCATGACAGCTAGCCTACCTGTCGTTACGCAGCAAGTTCATGTTTATATGATTAGCTGGCTAGCTAAGCAACAGCCGAAACCCCGAGATTGACTGACACATGTACAGACGAATCAGTGTTGAACTTCGACTCGTGGCGCATTAGTGATGTTTGCCAAGGCAACAGCTTTGGCAACGGCATCGATTGACATATACAGTATATAAACAAATCAGTGTTGTAAGCATGGCGTACTGTTTTGGTATTTCAATGGGTTAAAATCGAGACAAGGACTTGGGACATATTAGTGTTTTATAGATATTTGTGGGACACAGAGCTTGAAACGGGACGGTCCCGCGGTCAAATCAGGACGGATAGTCACCCTAACATTTCTATTTCAAGTTACTTCTTCAAAATAGCTAAAATAAATTCACAAATTACTAAGCTGTTGTATTTACACGTAAAAGCTCATGTTATAGCATTGATTTATCTCTGGTAAACAGTTTTAACACGTCATTTTCATTAAAAAGCTGTATCCTCAACCCTCAGGCAGCGATTATACTGAACTTGTTGTGCGTGAGCCCAGATTATGTCCTCCAGGTAGGTGGCAAAGCCCTCACTGATCCATTCCTCAGTCCAGTCTCTGGCTCCAATAACCAAACCAAACCAGGAATGAGCAATCTCGTGGCAGATCCTGGACCCACACAGAGAGAGGCTGTTGGCTCCAGAACCAGAACTCCCTGTGCCCAATACACTCTGGGATAGGAAAATGATATGCGGGCTGTGGAGAGAGAAAAAAAAAACAGAAATAAAGAATGAACAACGGGACAAAACACATACAATTGTTAAAACTGAGGGAATGAATGAGAAATAAGTTGGGGATAAAAAGGATCAGAATACAGGATGAAAATGCTTTTATACTCGGGAAGGTTCAGGATGTCAAATCAATCAATCAATCAATATTTATTTGTATAGCGTCAACTCATAACAAGTGTTATCTCGAGACACTTCACAAAAAGCAGGTACAAGACCTTACTTATTGCTATGTTACAAAGATCCGGCAGATCCATCATGAGCACTTTAGCAAAGCAGCAAAAGTTGGTAAGAAAAAAACTGCCTTCTTAAAAGGAAGAAATCTTCAGCCGGATCCCCAGGCCTAGACTGTGCCTGTCAAAGACAAGAAAGTAAACTCAATGGAAATTACCATTGACCAAAAAAAGTGTTTGTGAGGAAGAAAGAAAAACCTAAAAGTGATGAAGATTTACTACCACTGTCTAAAAAGTTCAAAGCGTGACTAAGGCCATGTTCCACACCTATGATTAGAGGAAAATGAAGCCTGATCACGCCACACAAGAAGAACAAACTTGTGTCAACTAATGAGCACAAGAGTCACTTACTGCCCATCCCTTCCTACATTTTATAAATTATGTCAAGAATCGGGCCGCTTAGTCATCAAGTGTTCATGCGAACCAAACTGCCCTGTGCAAACATTAAGCAAGACACATCATGCTGGGTAAAAACGAGTTAAAATTTAAGTGCCTTGCTGTTGTTATAGCTAAATAAATAAAGGTCAAATGAATGGTTTCCACTCCACCTCTTTCACTTTGTTTCTACAGACGACTTCAAGGCAACACAGAAGACTTTTTGTAATTAGAGATTTCTTTTTTCTTACTATACAAGATAATTATGAAACCAAAATCTTTAATCTTTAAAGATCTTAATAGAGATGAAAAGAAAATAATTGAAGACAAAGCTTGAATAATGGTTATATTTAAAAAAAAAAAACTACAAGCATCTGTTTTAACTCGATAGCCATGACTGATTTATTGAGCAATTATGTTAATTGGGATTTACCTCCCACACTTCACACAAGGAAATTAAACATATGGTTCTGCTTGAGATCAAATTTAAAAGTGCATCTCACGTGTTTGTAGATATAGAGACAAGTGTTTCCTTCTGTGCACTCTTGTAAACACGTACAATATGTTCAACATTCACGTACTAAATTACACACAATAAGGCCTGATAGTACTTTTAGTAACAGGGAAGAAAAGAGGCTGAGTGATAACTTTAACAGTGTGCCTGTGTATAGTATTTGCGCGTGTTTGTGTGTGTTTGAGACACAACTATTCAAAAGGCTCATTAGTTTTTTTTAGCCTGTAAGGGAATAAGGCCACGAGCTGTTCCAGGATAATTGTTATCAAATGTGAGTTTCTAATGTTATTCTATACATGCAAGTCTCCATTTTAGATGTCTGAATAATAAAGGATATGTTCAAAATGTGGGGTTTTCCCCTCAAATTTTCCTGTTTTCACAATCAAGGAAGTGAATGTAAGGTTTGATGAGGGTTTGGAAAGTGTCTTTTGCCGCACATGATTCCTGCCAGCAGAGAATACTGAGATGCTAAATTAGGATTGACGCTGCAGACGTCTCTGTCGGATGCATCTTGGCTTGAGTTTGCTGTGAAAATGAGGAAGTGTGTTAGGAAACTTTTTCTTATAGGAAAAAATGAAGGTCGGGATTTTCTTGACATAGACGTGTTCTTTTACTTCAAAAAGAGTGTTTTAAATTTAAACATCTGGTGATTTGTCATTATTTTTTTACAAGAACTATTTTCCCAAATAAATACTGACTAAGGCTATGTGCAGAGCTCCAGAAACAGATGGCAAAATGTTTTTTGCTCATTTAAGACTTGATTTTTAAGACTTTTTTTTGTTTTTTTTTAAATAGATTTGCTTTTTACAAAAAAAATAAAATATAGACTTGTACAAAAGTAATGCCTCTCAGTCATGACTTATGGGCCTCTATACATGTGTTGTGGTGACAGTGTCTGCAGAGACGCTGTCCTCTGCCAGTCATTTAATGTTTTGTTTTGGTTGGTTGTTTTTTAATAGGGTGGGCAGCGGGTGTGTTTCCTCCAGCCAATGACAGCTTGCAGGTGAGTTTAGAAGTGGACACATTTCAGTGATTGGACGCGATTCAAACCGGTGAATATAGCTGATGTTGACATAGCAGCATAAAGGGAACTTTTTGTCCGAATGTGACGATGAGCCAAGCAGAAAAGGCTCATTTCCAAAATGAGTGTGACGCAGAGTTGGCCTTCTTTGTGTTGGACAGGCAGGTGCCAAACACAGTCAGCTTGAGCTAATGTGCTAAACTATTTGCTTTAAATGTAAAAGGCCTATTCTCAGGTAGCTTTCAGTGTAGGTACAAACAGTAAAGTACTGCAGTTGACGTACTGTGCTTCTGGGGGCGATGAGCCCAGGAGGAGGGGCCCTGATTTAAATGTTGTGTTTACAAACTTTATCCAACGCTGTCTTTAAAACACATATGCACTGAACTCTGAACTGGTGCTCTAAACAACAGATACAAACTGGGACTAAAGAGGCTAAAGCAATAGCTCTGTGAGGCTTTAAGCAGATACAGTGTGCTAACAGGCTGCCAATGCTAATGCTAAACGGTATCAAGTAGCAAAGAAATCTATTTACTCATAAACACATCCTTTCCACACACATCCAAGGGGGGGTACATGTTTTGCTGATGTCATGGTACAAAGTTGTATAAACTAAGTACGATTATACATAATGATTCACATGTGTAATGGATTTGATTTAATAAATCCAGAAGGATCCTGTACATTATAAACATATAATCAAAAGAGAACAATTCATTGCAGATGGGCGCCTACCACCTTGAGCTTTAATGTAATTATTTCATTTTACTGTCTAATAGTGTCATTATTGTTAAATATAAATGTTTAGCAGGACATGTGACTGTTGACCCTGAGACAGTGCTGTTCTAAAAAAAAAATTGCTAATAGGAGAACTCAGTCAAAGCCAAGGTCATGGCTGAAGACTTTTCTGGAGCATTCTTTACTCCTGCCTTACGTAACAGACTGTGGGTGCCCTGAGGGGCTTAGGTGGATCTGTGCGTGAGAGGCGAGCTATTCTTCAACAGAAGAACTGAAGAGGGGTCACAGAGGTGCAAATGAATGCTCCCTCTCTCTCTCTCTCTCCCTCTCTCTCCATCTCATCCCATATAACAACACTGAACTGTCTAGAATTCCTTTCACACTCTGTAGACCTTCTGTGTCCCAGCCACTATTGACCCGACATTGGTGGGATAATTTATGGCAAACTGCAGGTCCTTACTTTAGAAGTATTTGTCAAAGGGCAACAACAACTGGACTACTTTGGCAAACATGTTTAAGACATGAGACCATGGGGTAGCAATAAACAGCATGATGCAGCAGCCCTGAACACATTTCAATCCCACAACAGTGCAGTTCTGTGCAACTTCTGCCACCATTACGACTTTCTACGTAAACACTGCATCCGCAACGGTGTAAGATGGTGTCCAAGTGTACGATTTGACATGGTGTTACAGCAACGCAGAAGCACAAGAGGCACGGCATGTAAACACACAGCAGGTGGTTCAAACACAGATCCACTCAGACATGCACGCACACACACACACACACACACACACACACACACACACACACACACAGCAGATGTGACACATCAACACGTTCTCCCCTCTGTTAAACCTCTGTTTCTACCTCCAGTGCGGGGGAAAAGGGGGGGGGGGGGTCAGCTTTGCCCCACCATTCTGCCTCCGTGTGTCTAACTGGGAATATGGAAGCGACATGTGTTTCTCCTTATTAAAACATTAACAGCGGTCCGTCTTGTAACTGCTCAGGCACAGTTAGCTGTAATTACTTCACCTGCACACTCACAGTCCAATCCCGCAGCAACAAATAGACCGGATGATGCTGCTATTGAGAAATAATAGGGAGTTGTAATATGAGCTGATGTCATCTAAGAAAGATACGCATCTTGAAACACCAGATGAAAATTATGTTTAGCCTCCACCATAATCTAATTATAGTGATGAGTCAATTATAAAGGAAAACACTGACTGAAGACACGGGTTAGGTCAGGGTCTTCCACACAGGCTATTTTGCAGGCAAACAAAATTGGATGTCTGGACAGCACAACTATGTTTTATTTCCCCGCGGAGTGTTTTATCAGATACAGGGCAGGGCATCTCGGTGTGCTATTTAGGAACATGTCAACATCACACAATGGGGGTCTTATGGGCATCATTTCCGAGACAGCATCTCAAATCTAATCCCATGTTTTTCCTGATTACACAAACAAAGGGCCTCACTGGAGCAGGAGATGCTAACATTAGCCTTATGAGTTTCTTTGTAGCCTAATCTTATTCCCCTACAATTGGATAAGCACGCCTTTGTTGTCATCTCCAGCAGTGCGTTATGTGTGTGTTTGTGCGAGCGAGTGTGAAACACAAAGACAGCCTTTCAGAGACGGCGTTTGCACATGCTCCTCTGAGGGATGCGGAATCCATCACTACAGTGACAAATAGTGTCATCCCACCATGGAGGGAATGAAAAACAACAGCATCTTTCACACTCACTGATACACTGACTGACATTAGCTGACATCAGGGACCCGTCATGGCAACAGAAAACTCTCAGAAATGTTCATGCATATGTAGCACCTGCAGACACCTTTCATCTGAATCTATGGTTAGCTGTGGAGATGAATGTATTTCCTTCGACTGCCAAAAAAAAAAAAAAAAGAACCGTTTCTGTTCTGTTTTTGAGTGGTGGACATTATTACTATGTAAGAGGAAGAACTGCCTTAATTGCAGAACATGCTCTGTTCTTCTCCTCGCAAAATTAGCAACAGTCACTTAGCGTACAACTACAGCTGCTGATTAAACTGACAATTACAATCAATCAAGCGTTTAGAAATA